CAATATAGAAACATTGGTAAATACAAAACATGTTTAAGACATGATTAAAATTGGTAAAATTAATAATTGTTATTGACAAATTTACACTTGGTCAGGGATAGTAAATAAAAATTAATTGGGTATAGGAAATCGCTATGACGAAAAAGTTGTAAACTTAAGGAAAGATTAAAATATTAAGCGCATTTTTGGTAACAGCAGCAGATGATATGGCCAGGGACTGTCCCATTGATGATATTGAAGCAAAACAATTGTCAACCAGTAATCCAGCAAATCTAGTTAAGTGATGACCCTAAGCTATGTATAAATATGTAACAGAACATTGTACAAGTATATGTGGATACATAAGAAATATTCGTTGTAAGATAGTAAAACACAGAGACATGATAAAAAACAATTTAATGGCAAACAAAAATTAAACACAAAATAAAAATATAAAGCCCTAATATATATAAGATAATGTAAAAAAGCATTGCAAGAGCCTAAGTGGAATTAAAATCAAAAACTAATGAGAATGTAAACACTGCCTTTGATATTGATATATGACAGCAATAAAATGAAATTGTCACCGAACAAGTTAAAAGAATTAAAAAATTTTAATCATTAAAGAAATGATGGATCTGGCGTGATGATAAGCACTTACCTGCGTTTTTCATCATGAAGATTGTTTACAAATTGCTATGGGGAATAGAACACCATTAATAATGGTAAAGTGATGTGACTTTAAAAATTTATATAAAATCAGAGGGAGGGGATAAAATAAAAAGAAAGATGTCGTGTAATCAGAAACAGTTGGGAGAAAGAAAAATAGAAATTTTAGATAATAATATAAACAGCAAGATATTAATTAAAGCGTAAAAAATCAGCGTTAACAAATGGCAAAATTTAACATAGCGAAAACCTAAACCCAATCGCGACATATTTTGAAAAGATATAGATAATAAAAGTACCAGACCACCGGAAATTAAAAACTGAATAAATTCAGATAGATAATCGCATAAGCGTTTGCAATAATATGTTTTTGACCAAGAATGAGTTCGAAAAAATATTAAAATAAGTAGCCAAAGTTAGCGAAAGATTCCACTTGTAGTGGATGACACGTTAATATGGCGGTCTGATACTCTACGCCTAAATCAACAATTAATTCGAATTTCAAACACTCAAAAATGGGAAAATTGGCCACCCGGAGGCCGGAAAAGATTCACCAGGAATGCCTTGTGGGATTACATGTTGAATTTAATTAACTTCGGGGTGAAAAAATGGATATTTATTTTTTTTGGAAGATAATTTTGAAGACTCCATAGGAGTTGTTGTTTCGTTGGTGGGGATCTAGATCAGCTTTTCCCTATGGTATACTGCCATACAAATCTTTTTGGTTACCTTTGGCGTATGGTATACTGTCATACAAATTTCTATGGTTGCCATAGGAGAATGGTGACGTGCCATATAAATGCCATACAGGTCTCTATGGTTACCATTGGCCTATGGTATCTTGCCATACAAATTTCTATGGTAGCCATAGGCTTATGGGGTTTTGCCACACAAATCTCTATGGTAACCATAGGCGTATGGTATCTTGCCATGCAAATTTCTGTGGTAGCCATAGATTACCATAGGCTTCTCTATGGCAAATTTTCCTAAGGGACCTTATTGAGATTTTTTTCCATTTTTTTTAAAAATTTTGAAATGATTATTTATCCACCGTTGTAGAAACAATTTATCACTGCCGAGAACTTTATTTTATAGGCTCCTGCTTGACATGATATCAAAAGTGAAGGGGAAAAAAACGATAAGTAAAGTAAAAAAAAAAGTAATAATAACAGAAGAAAGAGAGAGAGATTAGACATAAATCTTAATATATTTATCAAAATTTTTAATAGTATAAAAGTCCCGAGAGTGATAAAACCCGTTTCCAATTAGAACTGTTAATTATATAAAATTATCATTAACGAGTAAAATTACTTCTTATTTATTTTTCCTTATTTTGTTATATTTTTCCTTATTAACACAACTTGTATTCCTAAGTTTATAAATTTTTTTCAAGCATAGTTGATTATTTTTCAAACTACATTTTGTCACGATTTACATCTTAACAAAATGTTCTTACATAAAGTCATAATAATTATGAATTTTATAAATAAACTGATCTTTTTTTTAAAATTTTAAATATCGAATTTAAAAAAGGAAAAAAAACAAAGAGCAGAGCTTCCTATTTCAGTAATTAATCGTAAATCTTCAATTTAATAACGTGTTATTATCGGAATAGTTCAGTATTGAATTTCACTAGCTATTACGTCAACAAAGGAGCTGATTAAACGTTACGTCAACTGCATATAGTAGTGCTGAAAGAGCTAAAGTTAAACATTACGTTTCATTTTTTCTTCTTGTTAGTTTTGACCGTGCCTGTAGTCGGCTGTGTGCCGTTCTCCCTATGGGCCTGGAGTTGGACCTGCTCGCAGGTCTCCTTTGCTTGTCGTCGTGACTCGGGACCTTGTGCCTGTGTGTCCGCAGTGCTTGACGCTCGTGCTGGGATGGGATGTCTCGTGCGACAAGACATTATAAGAAAAAACCTCGGCTCATAGGCTTTCAGGACTGGGTCTTATTACATATTCATTTGTTAAAGCGAAATATATTTATGTGGCAGTCATTTGTAGAAAAAAGTTGTAAAACTAAAACTATACTCACCTACACCGAATGCTACGGGTGTTTCTGCACGTGATTTTCCGTCTTCTCCGAGGAATCTGGATGGATTAAAAACTTCTGGATTTTCATAGACCTTGCAATCCGTATGGATGGCATAAGCATTGGTTACAGTAATGGCTCCTCTAGGTATCCTGTAACCCCCGACAGTCGTCTCTTCTGCTCAACACATTAAAACACATAATTAAACACACTGTAAGGGATTTTTATACTTATACATAGTCAACAGTTTTAGTCTCTTTAACATTAAATTGTTTCATAGAGGCAGAGAAAATTTTGTTTTTAGAATTAAAATTGGCAAAGCAAATCTTACTAACTGATTTGTAAATTGACTGAGTCGTCTCGTCAAATTTTTGAATTTTGTTGGAACATTTTCACTGGATAAGATAAAAATAATCTTACAGCATAGTTTCAAAGAGTGCTGTTATCATTACTCTCATCATTTACATCTCAATGTTTTTATGTAAATCTGCTGCTCTCACCAATCCCTTCTTTATTTCAGTCTGTACTTTCCACAAAAACAAATAAAATTTTCTTGAAAAAAATTTACAATTGTTTTTAGTTTAATTTGAAAGCTTTTAGTCAATATGTTAATCGTAAGGAATACCCAAATTTGAAAAATAATGATCTAAACTTAAAAAAAAAGAAAAAGATCAAAGGAATATAAATTATGTGACTTAAAAAGAAGAGATAAATAAGAAGCAATTTTACTAGTTAAGAAATTTATTTCAAATCAAATATTTATCACACTATTTGATTTCTTTTATTTTTAAATGTTTCAACGTGAATGTTAGGATTTATGTCTGGCAACATCTAATTTCTCTCTCCTTTCTTTCTTTTTTTTTGTTAATTCAGATTGCCAAAATTCACACATGAGCTTATAAAATAAAGATCTCGAGGAAGATTCATTTCTATACAACATTGGCTAAATAGTCATTATGCAAACAGCAGGAAATAATTCACAAAAAGTCCTTAAAATTGCGACAACTTACAAGAAAACTGGAATTTTGAAAAAAAAAAAATATAACTCTAAACCTTTGTAAGAACTAAAAAATTACCCCTTCAGCACTATAAATTTCAACTCTGTAGTTGGATTTCGGTGCGCTGTAGAACGGCCTACATGCTATTTTTTAAGTCTAACCTTTAATAATTCTCAAACTAATTATCGAATGTTAATTTTTTCTATTCCAACGCACTCCCTGCTTATTTTAAAACGCATTTTGTTTTCTTGAATTTCAAAGTCTAATTAGTTGTTGCTTTGCAGCAAAACAAAATTTAAAATATAACCCAATGTTAAAGTGCAAAAATGTTTTTTTTTCTTCTTTTAAAATCTTACTACGATCTAGTCGTTCAAAAAAGTGTGATTTTAATATTTTTAAAAAATACTTTCATGCTAGTGTATAAAAAACCTTCTTGCTAGTAAACTTAAAAAATTTAAGTTTAAACAAATTTCTATGCTTCTTAAAACTTGTCAAAAAATAAAATTATTGAGGAGTCTATGTCATGTTCTTCTATGTAAGTTACGTTACAATATTTTACTGTTTCCAAAATTGTGTTCTTCGTTGATTATCTCCAAAAAATAGGGGCCCATATAGCAAAATTTGCAAAATTTGGCAAAATTTGCAAAATTGGCAAATAATTTTTTTCTTTTTCTTTTACATTTAGCATTTTAAGTCAACTAAAATACATTAAAATAACTTAAAATAAAATTAACTCAAACACAGGTTTCAGTTGGTCTGATGCCATTACAAAAATTGTAGTTTAGCATTAGCATTATATAGTTTAGCATTCAACCAAAAAATAGGTACCTGTTACATTGTAACACTAATTTTTAAAGGTACAATATGATCTGCTATTTTTTACACCACTGATAAGCCTTTGAACACTTTTCTCACTCCATGATCTACTGCCAACTGCAAATCAATTTGAAGTAAGTGATTTGAAAGTGACAATCAAAAAGAAAAACTTCAGATTTCAAAGACTTCGGGTGAGATTTCTCGGCAAAGAGGAGAAAGCCGAATTCCAACTCGAGAGGACAGAGACACCTATATTGAGAATTGGGGAAGGAAGTATTTTTCATCCTTCGAGTTAAGTGTGATGGCAACGACAGTGTGAAGCGTCCCTTTCAAGTAATATGAGACGGCAGATGATTGTCTGATTCGGTGAGTAGCGGAGGCCTAGGCCGACCGCTGTTCTCCCTGTGAGAGTGAAAAAAAATGGTGATGGAAAAACACCTGTTGCTCCTGAAATAAAAATGCCTTCAGAATCCTTGTTCATCCTTAGTTTAAATGATTGATCTGTAAATCAGAGAGTGAATTCAATTATGTGTGAATACGTGTCATCTATTTTTCATATTTTTTCATAGTGCGCGTGACTCTTAGGATTATTATCTTGGAATAAATATTTGTAAGTTATTCTTTATTTGACGTTTTCTTAGGTTTATGTTTGTCTTTCATTTCAGTCTATTTGAGAATTATCTAAATTTATTGGTATTTTATTTCCAGAGAGTTCTTATAGTAATGTACCACCACTAATAGTTTAGGTTTAACCACCACATGTGGTATTGAGATTAGTCAGGTTAAATGTTAGGTTGATTATGATGATTTGTATTCTATATTGACATATAGATTTCTTCATACGGCTCAATAAGATTAAAATTTTAATATTTAATTGTACCAAATTCTCATTGTTAATATCCTATTTGATACTTAAATACTTTCACTTTAATAGTACCCATATAGGTAGCGTAAGATAGTTTTACAAAATTTGCGCTTGAATTTATAGTGTTTTTTTCTTCACATCTGGCCTTTTAATTCAACTAACCGGTTTGGTGTTTGAAGTCGGTCTGATGCCACTACAAAAACTGTTGTTTAGCATCACTTGCAAGAGCGAATTCTACGCTGCGTAGGGAGAATTTTTGAGACAAACTCTTGCATCGATGGTCAAAACGTTTTTTCAAACTCGTTTATTTTGCTGAGTAAACAGAGAGGAATCTACTCTAAACACCGCAGAGTGTTCCTTCCATGTGACTTATGAATTATTTGATAGTCTACTGCATGCTGACTAAATGGAATAAAAACAAATAATTACAGCACAGAAGTACCATTTTGCTGTAATCGCGTTGCAACAATAATGGATACTTAAATAAAAGTGTTTTCCAGCGAACCCTTTCGAGTACCTGGATAACTCAGTTCTTCCGTTCCTTTGGAGTGGATAAATGGTGCATAAGTTTATTCGGAAAGATGATCAAAAATTTCAGGTCACCTGCCCAATATACGATTATCACAGAGGACAAGTCCCTGTCTGCTAATATGTTTCAAAACAGCTTTCATTAAAGTATACAATCTAGTAGGGTTCATCTGTTTGTTTCCACCAAAAATACGCGATTCATATCACAGAGGTGACGTTAGGGAATGAATTCAGCTGCTCGTCTGTGGGACAGGAATTTCTTTAGGTGCAAGAGAAACATCGGACAGGTCGATAAGAGGAGAAGACAGACGGACAAGATATGGTCTTTAGAGTACAGAGTCAAAACATGTGGCATTCGCCGAATTCTGACTAGCGTTGTCGTGGAGCAACGCATCACTGGCCTTACCTCTTGTTCTGAAATTTCATATGTTCTTACACTTGTTCTTGTTTTGTAGAAACGAGTGACACTTTATAAATAAAAACAAGTGCTTCAATTCCGTGCCTGAGAAGCATCTGGAATATTGTTATATTTATTGAAATAGATCAGATTGAGGCTTTGCTGCATTCGTCTACGAAGAACATAAATTGGAAAATTCATTTAAAAACGTATTTAAACTTACTAGTGCATACCAGACTGGGAAAGAGAGGAATGAAATTGGCCATTCGCTGAGCTTCCAGAAGGAACGCGTTGAAGTATCTGAGTTTGTTTTTATCAGCCACGGTTGGATTCCTGTCCTCTCCACACACCTCCACCAGTTCCTTGTAGATCTTCTCCTGCTCCTCGGGGTGGTCCAAGAGAGACATCAGGAGGAAGGTCACAAAGGTCGACACATTCACAACTCCATCTCCAACAAACTGTAGGAGACTGTTCACTAATGTTTCATCTAAAAATATCATTATTTTATTTAAGTAAAGGCATCCACTTACAAAACTTGCTTATATTTGAAGGATAGAGAAGAAAAATAAATTCTGGAGCTCACTGTCGATAGCACGAAATTCGGTTTTTGTTTGGCAAATGCTTGTCAATCTGTTGGACAAGTTAAATGCAATCACCTTATGGCATAGTCCAGAAGGCTCGGCAAATCAGGATCATGTTGCTTTGTCCCAGTGTGCCTGGCTAATGGGTACTTTGTTACTGGTACTGGGTATTGTATTGAATTATCTTCGCAACAAGACATATCGTTCCCCACTAAAGATTGTTAGAAATTACTTGCTACCGAAGATAAATTTTCCACATTTGGATTACTTAGAAAATATTAATCAGAATTCTTGTGTGGTTTATCTTATCCCGATGATGCAAGTGAAGATAATATTAAATTATTGATCAATTCTGACACATTAGAGAAATACTTAAGTATGTCGTTCTCAGGACTTCTGACAGAGTTTTCAAATAAAGTATATGTGAGCTGGAAGTTACAGATTTGAGCAATATTTAAGTCTAGATCAATCAGGCCTCCAAAAAATCGGGCTATCCTTCAGACAGTAAAGAGATTTCCCTCACGGGCTATATTTTTAATTACCATGCTAAGTAATTAATATTTTTGTGTCCTTTTAATCATTAAAATGTGTTCTACTGAACTGAGTTTTTAATCTTTAGTTTGTAGGGATTTTTGAAAATTTTCTTTTAACTTCAAGTTTTATATAGAATTTAAAATTTGGCAACTAAGTTCAATAAATAAATACATTTCAATAAATAAAATAAAATAAAAATCATTCCGAAATATTAATTTGTTACTGAATAAGTTAACGTAGAGAAAATGAAATTTCTGTCAGAGAAGACCTTTAAAAGCTATCTTTCCCTGACATAATTCATGAAATAAAAATGATTATTAAAGAACGTGCAATTCTTTTGATCAAACTGAACTATGAACTGAGCAAATATCATAAGTTTATAAATATTAAATTTGCGTTGTAAGAATTAAGTACTGATAAAATGGTTTTCAAAAGCCATTTTATCAGTTCAGATTTTGAATTCAAAGCGATAATCCCAGCTGCCCTAAGTATGAAACTTAACTCTTTAATGGTTATGCTTAGTGTTTAAAAAAGTACGGAAAAGTAAATATGAAATTCCTCGCTTAGTTGTTACATTTGGCATTGAAAAAGCCCATTTTTTGCTGTGTCCAGTTTCTAGAAAACGCGTTTTGAGCTGTTGTTCATTATCTCAAACACGTTTGTCTTAATATTATTTTAAACATTCATTATGTTCATCATCTGAAACGTATAATTGCAATAGCAAATGAAAAATGTCACCTGTGAAGTATTTATACGTATCATCTCCTTTAGACTTCCTCTCATTTTTCTCGTGGATGTATGCATCGATGATGTCTCGAATATTATCTTCATCAAATGTCCGTCCGTGTTCGTCAATCATTTTCTGAAACCTTTTCTTTGTTTTTGAATGAAGTTTCATCGCCTCTCTGAAGGAAGGCAGACAGGGAAAAATAAAATACCTGAAAAATAATTCTATCTATATAAAAGTGAATGTGTGTTTGTCTGTTTGTCCTCTATAGACTCCTAAACCATCCGACAGAAAGCTATGAAACTTGGCATACAGATAGTTCAAGGCACGAGGAGGAACATTCTACGAAAAACCGTTTCACCGGGATGAGCGAAAAACGAAATGGAATTTTCTGATTGGTTAAGCGTTTGACATTGTTTTAAATGTAACGATTCAATTTTTCACATAGTTTATAGATAACATCAGTGATAATTGCTAGCTTATAGCTCTTTTTGAACAGAAAAAAATTTATTGCAAAACTGTTGTATATTTAATTCTTTCATATTCGCTATGTCTGATAAATTTAATGAATATTACGTGGTAGCACGTAATGTACGTCATCAAATTTATACTTTGTCTGATACCACGCGATTTTATTTTATTTATATTAATTATAATAAACGTGTTCTTAAAAAATTACTTATTTAAAACCGATGGTAATGGAATAGAAAAAAATATTTATGTATTCAAATGCAGAAATTAATAGGAAAGTGGTACTTATTATTTTAGGAGAAACATAAAAAAATCCACGCCAATGATGCTTAATCACGCCAATGATGCTTAACTAATTAAGGTAATATATGCATATTGAAATAAAAGAAGTAAGCTATGTACTGGAAAGCAAAAGAAATGGAGTAAAGGTAATTATTTGTCGAGATCAACCGTAAGAAATCGTCATACTATCATTGACGACAATGATGGTTAATTAATGTTGGTAATATGTATTAATTGAAATAAAAAAAGTAACTTCTGAATTAAAAAGCAAAAATAAGGAGCAAAGATACTTATTCGAATCATGCTAAAAACTAATATGGATAAGTTATGTTAAAATAAAAGTGAAAGCGAAAACAGTTCTGTTACATTAAACATACCCACATTGACGCAATCACTTATTGGTAACTGAGAAAAAATATTTAGGCGCCATTTACGAGTGACTGTTACATTTTAATCACCAGTTAGGGATAAAAGAATCCATTGTCAACATACCCAATGACTTGCACAAGACTGCCACAATATAAATGATTCATTCATGAAAAAATGCCTAGCTTAGTCTTATTTCATGTATGAACCTAAAAATCCGAAACGGGTGTATGCTTACAATCTCCTTCAAACGACATTGTACCCACCAGATTGATCTCGATTGGCTGTTCAATGTCTATTCAGTCATCAAAAGAATTTACGCAGATTGTGTTTGAGCTGCACTCATTTATGTTTGCGAAATTTTGTACCGAGCGATTTAGTATTAGCAGTTAAAAATGTCCTAGAGGAAAACACAATAAAGCTGCTTTTCCAAAAAAAAAAAATCGACAATAACCATTTTGCTTTTGGGTAAAATGTGATCGCCTTTTTTCCCCATTTCTTTCCTCTCTTAAAAAACCCTGCATTTTTATTTAGTTATATAATAATTTTTATGTAAAAACAGTCAACAAATGCAATTTAAAACAATGAAACGAAAATTAAAAGAATTAAAACATTGACTCTTTAGCTAAAAAATCGTTTTGGTGAAAAACATTCAAGAATGAATTATTGCAGTAACGGAAATTTAAAATAAAATTTGGTTCATATAATTTTTATTAATGAACCAAAGATCAACGAAATATGTCACAGAAATTTACTATGGCTATAATATGTGCTACGTGCGTACGTCATAGTAAACGTAATTACAAATTAATTAATCCATTAGTAGAACTTATAGAGTTGATTGATATTTTATTTGGAAAAAACAATTTTCCAGTTTAACTTATTTATATGGGTCCAAGTTATTTTATTTGGTTATTAAAATAAATTTAACCACTTTATAAACGCTAATTGATTATTGCACGTTAAACTTAATGATTAAAATGCGTTAAATTCTTTTTGATATAGTTTTGAATTTTGGAATAATCGGCTGTAGTGGCATCCGTCATTTTGAAATGATCATTGATCCGTCATTTTTTATTTTTTTTTTTGGTCAATATACCAGTGCGATCAAAACTTAATCTCATGATTAAATTTTGAATGTAAATTTTTTTATTAAGTGTAAATATATTTACGATTCGTTAAACGTCGTATTCTGTAAAGATAAATTTCTTTCGAAGGGTTACAAAAGTATTTACTGTATTAAATTAATAAATTTTATTCCTTTTTCTCCTTATAATGAGATGTTGGTATTTGTAATAAAAAATTTAAGCATTTTAATTTTATTGTTGTTTTTACTTTATTTTTAAACTTGCTTTATGAATCCTTTCGTATCCAAATTTTTATTGAGAAATGGAAGTGTCCGTAATGATTACCTAAACATGCCTAAAATAACAAAACTCACAGTGTACACCAAATATGTTCTGCTTTCCCTTACATGCCGAATTGTGATTAGTTTTTGTGTTACGGATAAAACTGAGTGCGGTGCATATCAAGTTAGTACTCTTTTCTGGTACATAATAAGTAACTCAGGTTTTTTTTATGAAAAAAAAGAAAGAAAATGTTAAAAAAAATTACTTTGTGAGAGCCGGGATGGCTCAGTGGATAGAGCTTTCTTTTTCCAATGACAGGAACCGGGTTCGAATCACAGCGATGGCTGGTCGATACGAGTTCCGCATCCGGCTTGCATCGACCCCAGTGCTGACGTAAAAAATATCCTCAGTTGTAGATGGATCATGGGTTAGAATCCCCTTGCCGTCGGGCTAACTATGGGTTTTTTTTCGTGGTTCTCCACTCCATGTAACGAAAATGCGGGTTAGGGCCATCCAAAAGACGCCCAAAAATGGCAAAATTTCTCCAACTATTTGATCCAGGAGTTCCCTTGTCCTTCTGGATTGGGGGCTCAAAACTACAAAGCTACGGAGTTGAACATTAGCAGTCTTAAACCCATAAAAATTGTTGAATGATGGTTATAAAATAAAGCGAAACTTACTTTGCAAAGTTTCCATGCAAGAGCATATTCTTGGAATGAAGGAGTGTTGCCACCAGTCTGTATTCTTCTTGGATGACGTTTATATCTTTCACAGTAACGGGAGTGTTGAATCCAAAGAAAGTGTTGCGAATCATGAGAATACTTTTATCCACGAGAAGGTTGAGTATGTCGACGGAGGGCTCTTTCGAACTCTTCCTGAGGTCCTCCACAAGACTGAGGACAGTTTCATCAGCTGTGTCTGCTGTGTTCTCTTTAAAGAGTGTCATACCCCTATCTCTGAATTGTGTTAGAAAATATCTTCTAATTGTCTGCCACTTCTCCCCTCTCGAGAACGGCACACCTACAATTGGAAAAAGAAGAGGGTCCTTTGCAAAAACATTCTCAGTAAAAAGTTGCGTGTTCTCATGCAGTTGATACGGGAGAGGGGAAATGGAGAAACTTATGCTTGAGATCAGCTTTTTTTTTCGGCTTTTGAATCTTAAGTGATCGCTCTTCTTTACACTTAGTCACGACATTGAAGTTTATGAGTTGCTGTGAATGCTTAATATTATGAATTTGTTCCTGGAGTATGCGCTGAAAAAAAAGCTGAATTATGATTTCCGAAAAAAAAATTGTTGTGAAAGTAGAGAATAGTTCTCAGAGAAGTTTTTTATTTTGAACTGAAAAGCTCAATGACAAAAAATTATTACATTTTTTATAAATGCATATCCTTTCCTTAATTTATTCAATATATTGTTATTGAAATTGTCTATTTTTTGATTGGATTTCTTTATTACATTAGATTTCATGTATAAAAAGTACTATTTTTGAATTGTGCTTTTGTATACTTTTTATCCAGCGTTCTAAAAGCTATTTAGACAAGTAAGACATTGTTGCAATTTTCACCGCTTACTGAGTGATAAGTACTAAACAGTTTGCCTCTGGGTAGAACTTTTTGTTTTAGATGTTATCTTTCAAACTGTCTTTACTGTAGTATCATAAAGAATTACTGATAATATACAGATTTTGAAACAGCATTTTTTGATTGCCAGAATTGTTAACTTAGTTATTCTGCAACACTAATGAAATATCATAATTGAAATTTGACACCATTGAGATAATCAAAAAATCCGATCGATGAATCAAAATTTAATATTAGTTTTTATCTATTTATGTTTTACTCACTTTGTATTGCAAGCTCCTGCCCTAATGCAGAATTCATTGCCTTCGTTCTGCTACTTTCTTATTTAAAGACTTGAGTGCATTGACGTTTTTTTTAAAAACTAATCTGTTTAACTAATTATGAAACTAAATTTTTTTTTATTAGCTTGCTTTAAGCTGATTTTTGGTTAATGTCTCAAAAGGTTTTGTTTTTTTGTCATTTTAGCCAGAAAACTCATTTACTCAAATAAAATATTTTAACTAATATTTGTAATTTGTATACTTTAATTTAATAATTGCCGAAAATATTTTTAAATGAGAAGAATAAAAAAGTTTCTAACCTTTTCAATTCATAATTTCGAATGACAAAAAACAGAATTTGCATTTAGGAATGAGGAATATAGCTTGAAAACCCTTTTGCATCTAAGAATCAGTCTGCCAATACATTTTGCTCCCATTCTACAACAATCAATACGAAGTGTTCTGGAAACATACATCAATACGCAGTGGGGGGAAAACAGACCATCCTGAATAACTTTTGAACTATTGATCTGGTTTTCATATTATAGGACTTAATCTTAATGTCTCAAGAGGGTGATCACAACTATGCTAATTAATAAGTGCAGACGATATTTTAAGTTACGAAATCAGACACTAAAGCTTACTTTTTCTGAATAAATATACCCTTTTTTCGACGGATTCGGATTTCTGACTCCCAAAATATAGGAGTTAGCCGCAATCTAGGAAATATAGTTCCAATAGTAGGATAGGAGAGCGCTCCTAAGTTTGAACCCTTTAATGTTAGTTTTAATTGTTAAGTATTTCGCTATATCTCGAGAACTTTTTTAGCGAATTGAAATTTTTTTTCACTCATTTATAAAATTCGTTTATCTAAAGATAATTTCTCCATGCAAAAAATAACTTTTAATAAAAATTTATTATTTATTATTATTAAGAATGGTCGAAAAAATTTCGAAGGTATGCATCATTTTAAAGAAGGTTTATTAATAAGCATATTATTAATTTTACTTGGTAAAATATAAATTTGTTGAATAATTACTGAGAAATTGATTTTCAAGAAAGTCAGATGCTTAAAATACGATTTCGCTCAAATTTTGTAATTCGGCAAAGTAAAATTATAATCTTTAAAATTATGCAAAAATGGCACACTTCTAAAAGGTTTCCACCATTTTTAAATATTATAGTGAAGGATAATAAATATTTATTAAAAGTTATTCTAAGCATAGAATTATCTTTGGAAAAATGATATTGATAATTGAGTGCAGAAAGTTTTGAATTTTCATTTTAAAAGTTCTCGAGAGACAGAAAAATACATAGAAAGGGTAAAATTAACACTAAAGGGGGGTTCCAAACTTCTGACGAAATTATTGGGATCCTATTTCCCCAGATTGGGCCTATATTTTGGGGGATCAGAAATCCGTCGAAAAAAAAGTGATATGTTTATTCTGAGAAAGTACGGTTTTTAGTGTCTGAATTTATTAATAAGCATATTATTAATTAGCACTTATTAACTAGCGTATTCGAGGTCACCCCCTTGGGTCCTAAAGATTGAGTTCTAGAACATGCAAATCCGATCATTACATCAAAGGCTATTCAGGGTGGTCCGTTTTTTGTGTGCACTGTACCTAAACATTTTTATTTCATTTCACTAAAATGGGGTGACATTGACTGACTCACAGAGCCTGCTTTGTTTTCTCTTTATTAAATGCAGACTAATGGTACTCCTACACTTCTCATATATCGTGTAAGAGCCGTGGTGGTTCAGGGGATAGAGCGTTTGCCTTCCAATGAGTTGAACTCGGTTCGAATCCCAGCGATGGCTGATCGATACGAATTCCGCATGCGGCTTGCTGACATAAAATATCCTCAGAGGTAGACGGATCATAGGTAAGAGTCCCTTAGCCATCAGGCTAACTGTACGATGTTTCTATGGTTTTCCTCTCCATGTATCGTAAACGATACGAGGGTTAGTTTCGAGTAAACGAGGGTTAGTAAACGAGGGTTAGTTTCATCGAAACGTCTTCCACGAAGGGAAATTTCTCCCAATACTTGATCCAAAAGTTCCCTTGCCTTCGGGATCGGGTTCAAAATGATGAAGGCTACGAAGTTGAAAATGAGTAATCGTAAGCCCAAAAAAATTGGGTCGGCTGTTCAATGACGGTTATAAGATAAAATATATCGCGTGAAAGAGCATTGTTGTACTCTTTTCCCCACTCATTCAAAAAAATAGGAGGTTCAGCCATCTGTTTGTTCCGCTCATCAACATCTGTAATTGCTCAGCTATCATCGTGGATTTTTTTCTTAAACGTCAATATTTTCCACAAAAATGCAGAATATTTTGTTGCAAAAAATATACAATTATTGTGGCTTTATGTCAGAATATTTTGTCAATATGTTAATAGTAACGAAATGGATGATATTATTTGAAAAAAAAACAAAAAAAAAACTCTTTCCTAAGTTTATAAACAAATATTGCCCTTTTAGCACATTTAGTTTCTACTTTGGAGTTGCATTTTTAAGGCCTGTTGAGCGGTCTACATGCTCTTTTTTTCCTGCAAGTTTAACAGCAAATTATTCTCGAACAAATTATCGAATGTTAATTCTTGTTTATTATTTTCCAATCCATTTATTCCATTCTGCAGTTTTTATACATCTTCGTCATTTTAAGTCCTTGAGCGTGCAAAAAAAAAAAAAAAAAAAAAAAAAAAAAAAAAAAAAAAAAATGAACGCTTTAGACTATTTTTCCTCAATGATATTTTAATAGAAATAGCAAAACACTTCGAGTCTTTTATAAATGAGATTTACAATAAAGAACACATGTTAAACCTTCTCCTATAGTAAGAAATGTCTAACTTATGACAGATAATTTTGAAAAGCTCTGTCAACTCAAATTGTGTCAAAAAGGACATTTTATATTTTCTAATGAAGATCATTCTTTTAAATTCAGATATTTGTCTCAATTTATATTGATTTAAGAATGAAATAAGTACATAAAAAAAGTTCTTTGTCTCTAATTAAGGAAGCTTATTTTTTAGTAAATTGATTAACGAATGAAAATTAGTCACCGCTTTCATGAATTCTGGCCAGAAGATTGAAGCCGGACGTTCTCTCCCTGAAGTTGTCCGATCTAGTGATGTGGGCTTCCCTCAGCATTTTCTGACTGGCGAGATTTATGTAGAGTGCACCCGTGATTCTGAAACTGAAAATGTCACCGTATTTCTTCTTCAGTTCCAGCTGCTGCAGGTGAGAGTGCTCACTCACTACAAATGGCCACCATCCCAGAATAGGCACTCCTGTCGGTCCAGGGGGCACTCCGTAGTCCCTGAGAATGTAATAGAACGAGGCAGCGAGGATATACCCCAGGATTAAAGATGCGGATGCAACTCCTATTGAAATGCTTGAGATGGTGTTACTGGCAAAAAATAATGCCTCCTTTAAAATTTCCATCTATGAGAAAAACTAAAGTTAGTTCGGAAAGACAATACCAAAAGTTAGAATAAAATGCATTTCTCACTCAAGGCAATTTTCAATTCTAAAAAATGCGTATAAAAATTTACATTTCATGGCAATAAACTTATTTATTTTTTTCCATAGAGAGAAAATGCGAATGAAGTTACTTTATTTATATGTAAAGTTAATACACTCTGTTTGTTGTTGAGTCGCTCTATGCGTAATAAACACTCTTTTAAATGATCCACTGTTCATCATCAAATCTTTTAAAACAAACGAGAAGAACTTGATAAAATTTCCTCATCGTTATTAAGGTTATATTTTCTAAACACCTCAGAATGTTCTTCTGTGAACCGCAAGAGTTCTAGTAGATGAGCGGTGTTGCAGTTCGAAATGTAGCCTTTACAACAGCCATTCAGTTTCAAAAAAATTTATTTTTTCTGCGATTGCTTGTACGAGAAAAGTATTTACGAAATTTTAAAAAAATACATTTAGTTATGAATTAATTTCTTAAGTTTGGTTTTTTCATCGATCATTTCATTGGAGTTTAAAACTTGTAAACTTGAACAACAAAATAATTAATCTAGTT